GGGTTTCTACATAGAAGTATACTCATAAATATTCATGTGCACTCATGCTCTCTGTGACCTCTGGCATACTTACATACTCAAATGAATTAGCACACAACACTCTTAAATTTCACAGTGGTTTAGAAAGACACTTTAAAAAATTAGTATCTTGAAGAAGAGCCAGGGTTGGATCAGCAGGAAGAGGGAGACAGAATATTGGAGAGACTGTCAACCTGAATTTACATGAGATGGGGTTAGTAAAGAATTGAAATTCTTAAAAGTGAGCTGAGATGGAAGCAGTGTTCTCCCAAAAACCTGCTACATGATGATGATTGCCAGTTTGGCTTTTCGTCCTTGCTGATTTATATAATTTTTTTTTTTCAAAGTGACTATTTTTGTCTTAAATGGCTCTGAAACCTGGAGTAGAACTATAAGAAACACGGCCTTGTTATAAATCTTTGAGAATAATTGTATGATGTATCGTTTCAATCCATCAGAGATGCCAACAGTGAAGATTGGAGAGTGAGAAATAATAACAAAGTTCATAAACTGTTTACATCACCACTAATTGCTTGCTTAACTTGGCATTAACTGGCAGGACACAATCACAAACAATGAGGTGTTGGAAAGAGCAGGTATTACAACAGTCTTCTCATTGCTCAGTCTGTGAAGGCTCAGGTGGCTGGGTCACACCTGGAGAATGGAGGATGGCAGAGTCCCTAAGAACATCTTTTATAATGAAATAAAGATGGGTAGAAGATGTCAAGGCTGACCTCTATATGATATAAAGACGACATATGTAAGTGGGACATGAATTGACAGGTATTGAGGTGGACTCATGGACTGTGTTGTGTAGAGAGGGCACATCAGTAAAGGAGTGAGAAGGAAGGAAGAAATGATTGGAGAAAGGATAAGAGATGAAAAATCTGAGAAGAAACAGACTAAACACAAATGTTGACAACATTGGTCCTGAAATTCCATGCTTTAATTGTGATAGACTTTTCTTGATGTGGGTGGGTCACACTTGCTATGACCATGGGCAGTGAGTTCCATGCCTCCTCATAGTGCGGTAAACACGTTGTCTGGAAAGACTGAAAGGTGCCAATCAATCAATAACCAATCAATCACTTGCATAATGAGGGCTAACAGACTACTGTGGTTAGGGCATATAGATAAAATGGCAGATAGCAGAGAGACACAAAAACTGCTTACACAGAAAAGTTGAATGTGAGTAAACCACGAGGTAGACCTAGAAGGAGAGATAATATGCAGATAGACCTACACACTTGGGAGTCACTAAATTGGAAAGAGAAGGCCGGTCACAGAGTAAATGGAGGCGAGTCATATCTGTAGCAGTGAACCTCAAGGGCTCGGTATGTTAAAGAAGAATGCTGAATGTTAAATTAAAAAATCAACATCATAGCACGCAGGATCCTCCCATAAGCGCTCTGTCCCCATCTTCCTCAGCAAGTGAAGAGTTCCAATTCCATTTGTAGCAGTAACTGTCTGGCTGAATATCTGTCTTCCCTTTACTTGAGTGTGAAGCGTTTACCAGATCTTCTGGTAACTACCCGCAGTGCCATTCTCCTCAGACTGTAATGATCTTTTTGTGCCTCCACACTGTTCACTCACTCCCAAAGGGCCCTCACAATATCTAGCTTGTCATATACATCAGTTCACTACCAGGTAGTGCAGAACCAGCCACTCTATCTGTCTGCTCATTTCCCAACACACCGGCATGACCTAGGGAAAATATGCAAATGATGCTAACTACCTGGGACCTCTGAAGTGACACTTGCCCCACTCTGGACGGAACATACCTGTCTCCACCTTATTCAACATGCTCTGTGAGTCAGTTACAGTCATGGCATGTGTGTACAGCTGATTCTCAAGCTGTTCAAGAAGAAAAAAAAAAGAAGAAGGATTTTCAAAGTTAAAGAAACATATCACACCTTCCATCATGAGATACATGATATGCTGTCATTCGCTTTTTGTTATCAACTTGTATGAAATAATATTATTTATACAGATACTTCATTTTAATGTTAACTTTGAGATTTGATTACTTCTGACTTTTTAAAATTTATGCCCGTTGACCATGGTTAACATTCACCTTTAATTTATGTCAACAGAAGCATCAGCTTCGACTGAAGAAGCCTGGAAAGGGGCAGGAACTAAAGTTGGTCTACAGATCTGGAGAATTGAAGTAATTTAATTCTGAACCTACACATTATATGTATTGTTTTTCATGTCTCGTAGGCATTGAAGACCATTCTTCGCAATCTCATTAAAGTTAGTTATGAATATGAATGTAAATGTTGACCTGAGGCCAGTGTGAGTTCGGAACATTCTTGGAAAGCAGATCGTAGATGTGCTACATGAGGTTTGTTATATTTAAAGCATTTTAGAGAATGGCTGGTAACAAAGGGGGAAAACTGTATACAGAATAGTTGAATGAGAACAGACTGTGAGGTAGACCAAGAAGATTGTGGAGGGTTAATATACAGGCAGATTTACAAACACTTGGAGATGAATGCAGGCGAGTTGATATCTGCAGCAGTGAACCTCAAGGGCTTAGAATGTTGAAGAAAAAGGAAACAAAAAAAAAATAAGATTCAGAAACTACACAACAAACATAGAAAATCTCTTGCTAGTTTAACAATAAGGTCTGATGTGATTATCTTTCTATGACTCTGTGTTAAAAGGCAGAGGAAGTGCATTGGGGGTTCATAGCAAAAGCGAATGGACGTCGCTTGGTGCAGCAAAGCCTGGCAAATGATATCACAACGTCTAGTTTGAGAATGAAGGGGGAGGCAATTATTGCCTCCTACCGCTGGCTTAAGAATCAGCTGTACTCACATGCTGTGAATGTAACTGACTCACACAGCATGTTGAGAAAGGTAGAGACAGGCATGCACCGTGCAGAGTGGCAAGCCTTAATCCAGAGGTCCCAGGTAGTTAGCACCCTTTAGATATTTTCTCCAAGTCATGCCAGTGTGTTTGGAAATGAACAGGCAGATAGACTGGCTGGCTCTGTACCACTTGGTGGTGAAACGATGTTTGACAAGGTAGATATTGTGAGGGCCCTTTAAGAGTGAGTGAACAGTGAGGAGGCACAGATAGATCATTATCATCTGAGGAGAATGGCGCTGCAGGGAGTTACCAGGGGATCTGGAAGATGCTCAAGACTCAGGGGAAGGGCGAGACGGATATATAATCAGACAGTTACTGGTACTGTTGAAATAGGAACTCTTTGCTTACTGCTGAAGATGGGGAGAGAGCGCTTATGGAAGTGTCCTGAGTGCTGTGATGTTGATTCTTAATTTAACATTTAACATACCCATGAGGTCATCTCTTAGGACTTAAAGGAAAAGACAAGTAGGGATGGCTCAGACATGTGGAGAAGATGATTATAAATTAAAAAGTTACTTGCTTATCCTTTTTAGGGCATACCAGATCCAAACCCAACCATCATTTTTTGACTGTTTGGTTTTAGTAGACAGTTGTACATTCTTTAGATTGCCCTTGCTTTCTGAATGATCTGTACTCAGTGCCATTGTCAAAACAAATGCTGTCAAATTGCTGGTAGCAGGAATTAAAATAGATACTTTAGAATTATAAATCAGTTCTTCTTCTTCTTCTCTTCCACCTGGTACCTCAGCGAAGTGGGGGGAGATGTAACATTTGTTGATGAGGTCTGTCAAGAGCACTATTAAGACTGACGTTCATTTCATCACTTCATATTTTCTGAGGTCTTCCACTTGCGTTTTAGTGTGGCTCGCTGTGGCAGATAGTACCAGGGCATTCTTGTTAGGTGTCCAAAACACTGCATTTGTTGTTCTTTGATGACCTGTAAGACTGGCTTTATTCCTAGCATTCGTCTGATTTTGGGATTTCGTATTCTGTCTTTCCTTGAAACTTCTGCAGCTCTTCTAAGGCATTTGATCTCTGTTGTCACAATGTTACGTTCATTGGAGGATGTAAGTGTCCACGTTAAATAAATTACAGCTGCAGTACCTAAAATACAGACGCTGACTCAGAGATAATAATAAATATGCCAAGGGCATGACAGGAACTCCAGAGACATGAGTCAGTGAGTGCTTCTTCTCCACTGCAAGATCAAATACAAGGCTTTATTAAGCTGTTTCACACAGTTGACTTCCTTGTTGATTAATGAAAACATCATATATAATTAAGTTTATGTAATTATCTCACAGAACAGGTAGGTTTTCTGCATGTTTGATGCTGGCTTTTGTTGTCTCATGAAGTGTTCACACATTGATTAATTCTTCTTAGGAGGTTGTTTCCATGATATTTTTTTTTAAGATAAACTATATTAATGTAATACATAACTATACAGAAGACATTTGAAAAGTAAAACTAAAGTACGAACAAAACAAACAGTTGATGATTCTTTGTATCACAGTTTTGGCTCCAGTTAGAAATGTTGAGTAAAAAAAGAAAAAGAAAGAGACTTGTTTCCTGCACTGAGGCATAATGTGAGCATAGTGAAGGCCTCACATTTTTTAAAGAGACAAAATGACTCTTGATGTGTCAAAAGTGTCATGGGGGTCTTCTTCACTTGCTACCTATTTTATATTGGATCTACCTGGAAGCCAGTGTCAGTTAAAAAAAATCATCATCTTGAAGGTTATTTGAACACTTGCCAGAAGGTAAACATGGTAGTCACTTATATATGCGTATCAACATGGTAAACACTTGGTTCAATAAGCAACCACAATCCTTTTTTGCAGATGGCATTTGCCTCCTACAATGGGAGGCCTGTCTAAATACCTATGGCAATTTTTCTGACCAATGTGTGGTGCATAATTTATTTAAAATGAATGCTTAATTTAGTTTTACCACATCTGTTGATATTTCTTTCATACTTTTATAATATCCCATCATCTATAATGCTTCCTCTGTCATTACATTTGCTTCTATCAGTTTTTGATTTGTTATCCCATCAGTTGTCATCCCAATCTGGCACAAAACCCTAATATTACTCTTATATTATTCAGCAATTCAAAGTAAAGCCCTGGCCAAAGGAGGATTATGGGAAATTTTTCTCTGGAGATTCATACATTGTCTTAAACGTGAGTCCCAATGATGACATAAAATTGTTAATGCATAGACCTGTTTATTTTAGCTGTTTATTGAGTCTCACAACAATACACCTACCTTAAAACTAACCTAATCATGTTTATTTTAAATGTTCACCACTTATGTTATTTTTGTTTTCTTTTTCAGAAATACTTTTGAAATGTGTTATGCAGATACTTAATGTTTTCTTCTGTGTGTCTTTAAGCTTTAGAAGATTTATTAAATTGTTTATAAATAATTGCTAGATAGTCAGAGATTTGTTATTTTATCTGGGAAAATCCATTTGGTTACCAAACAAAATGGCCAGGTAATATGTAGGCCAGGTGATCTTGTTTGTCAGTTGTCAGGTTTGCAATGGCTTTTGTCTATTCTTTGTCAAAAGCAGACAGCACATCAGCATTAGAATAAACAACAACATTGTGTCAGCCAATTATTTCATGAAAATAAACAAGGATATCGCCACATAAAATCATATTTCTGTTCCATTCTGAGTTTGTTTCTCTTTCATCCTGGTTTTCTTCCTCTTTGCATTCACCAGCTGACACTCCTGCAAAAAGTTCTGGTTGTTCATCCAATCCTGGGCTATGGGCTTGTTCTAGAACTTGAGTCTTTTTGTGCACATTTGTTTTATAGAACAGACTTATTTGTTCCTTGCCTATTAGGCAGATACACTCTGACTTCGACTGAAATACCACTAATTAGTCGTCTTCTTCAACATGCTTGTTTGGATGCAATGAGGCCCCCCCCCAAACATGTTGTTTGGATGCAATGAGGCCCCCCCCCAAACATGTTGTTTGGATGCAATGAGGCCCCCCCCCCCCCCAAACAACACAACACAAAACATAATAAATGTTTGTTGGTTTGAAAGAATGGTAAAGGAAGGTGTGGTTTCCAGAAGAGGAGATGGGGGAGGGGGGGGGAGGGGCAACCAGCACAGTTGTGGATACAGGACACCAAAGACACCCACAACATGACAGTGTCATTCCATGTCGATGTAGAATGTCTTTGATGTCATCAGTCCATATTTTCCTGGGGCAGCCTTTTGATGTCACATCAGATCTTTCATGTGTAAGACCTGTGTTGGTAGTTGTTCTGGCTACATTCTAATGAGATGACCAAACCATCGATCATTTGTTTCTAAATGAGATAGCTAAATGGAGTTGTTCCCACAGTCTCTCTGATAGAATCATTTCTCACTTATTCTCAGATGGTTAAGATGGCGGTTTTCCTCAGGTATCTCATTTCACAGATGTAAATTATATAAACGCTAGCCTTTGATAATGTATATATATTATTTTATTATATTGTAACTAACTTTCACTTGATTAAATTTTATGGTGCAGACTTACAAAAATGAAGGGGAAGACGAACTGAAATATGATGTTCATTTTTGGATCGGCAAGGAGAGCACACAGGTATTGCTGTCATCCTAAATGTGTTTGTGTGTGACTATGTTGATGATGAAATGAATGAATGAATCAGTCAAGAATTGACATCTCTGCACTGAAACAATCCCATATGTGCTCCGTTCCCTTCTTCAGTAGCTAATAGTACCAGCTGCAACCTGATTAAAGGTCTACCACTGTTACTCCGTAAGGTTGAATATTTTCCAGAACTTCTGGTCATCCTACGTTGAACTAGTCTATCAGTGTATGCATTCTCTATCTGTTAAGCTGGATGTTGTGAGGGCCCTTTGGGAGTGGGTGAACAGTGCCAAGGAACAGATAGATCATTGCGGTCTGAGGAGAATGGCACTGTGAGAAGTTACAAGGGAATCTGGTCAACGCCCGACACTGAGGGAAAAGGCGAGATGGATATACAATCAGACAGTTACTGGCACCATCAGAATTTTAACTCTTTGCTTGCTGCTGAAGATGTATTGCCCACTTGATCACAGACAGCCTTCACCATGTCCACTTTATCATAAAGCTGCTCAAGGCTTAACTCTTTGAGTCCCAAGGAACGCATACATTCATAGGTTACTGCCTAGAAGTCCAATGAATGCATGATGCACCAATTTTAAGTCTCTCTTGAATACCTCTTGGGCCTGTGAGGCTAAACCATCTGGGACTCAAAGAGTTAGGAGTGATGATGATGATGTTTATGAGGTAATGATAATATATGAGCTATTTGATACATGACAAGGCAGATATGGTCAAGGCCCTTTGGGAACAAGCAACGGAATCAGTAGAGAACGAAGATTATAATGGCCTGGAGAGAATGAGGCACCTGAGTGTAACCAGAGGGTCTGGCCGGCTCACTACACACAGAGGAAAGGCAAGACGAACATTTTAACTAGATTGTGACCGGTACCATCAGTACTGGAACTCTGCACTGGCTGCTTAAGATGAGGATGGAGCATGAATAGGAATGCCCCGAGTGCTGTGATGTCAGTTCTTGACTCAACTCAACTCAGCTGTCTAAGTTATTCCCTTGGATGTCTGAATTCAGTGTATGAGGCGCGTTTTTTAAGCAAGTCCTGGCATACCATTTTTTTAAAATGATCATGTTAAAAAATGATTTATTGTAATCAAAAGTGAACCACACATTTACATTTTTTCTCAGCATATTCACCATTGACTTTAACACATTTTTGGTATCATGGCACCAGGTTCTTAATTCCAATGTCATAGAAGCCTTCCGCCAGTGTCTTGAACTATTGGTTAATGCCTCTCAGCAGTTCATCATCAGTTTTGAACCGCTGTGATGCCAGCTACTTTTTTTAGGTGCATAAAAAAGTGGTAATCACTTGGCAGCAGATTTGGGCTGTAGGGTCGGTGGTCAACAATTTCCGAGTAAAATTTGTGCAACAATTGAACAGTTCCATCTACAACATGAGGTCAAGCATCATCATGCAAAAGCACAATTTTAGAGGACAGCAATTGACATCTTTTGTTTTGGATGACACCTCTAAGTTTTATCAGATTGTCACAATAGGCTTTGGCATTATCTGTCTTTCCACGTTCAAGAAAATCAATAAACAAAACTCCTTTTTTTTTTGTCCTAGAAAAAAGGCTATGATCTTTTTGACAGAAAGTGCTTGTTTAAACTTCTTTGCTTCTGAGAACCATGAGTGTCGCCATAGTATCGACAGTTGCTTTGATTTGATGTTTGTGTAGGAAATCCAGGTCTCATCTCCAGTAACAGTGTTCCCCAAATATTCATCTCCCTAATTTTGATAGCACTGCAAACATTTTATTTCAGCCGAAGCCATGCATTTCTGCTTCTTTTCACCGGTTAACATTTTGGGTACCAATCTGGCAAAAAAAATTGTGTGGGTGTATCCAAGGCATCTTGTCACAATGTTGTAAGTCAGTGAATGTGAAACTTCCAAAAATTCTACAGACAATGCTGAAATTGTGAAACAATGATTTTCTTGAATTTTTAGTTCACTTCTTCAACCAAATCATCTGTCACCACACTCAGCTGACCGCTATGATCATCATCATGGATATTTGTTCACCCTTCTTTAAACATTCAACTCCATTTCCTAACCACACTATCAGTTATAACATAATCTCGATGAGTTGCCTGTGAATTCCTGCAACACTGATCACAGCATGAACCTCGCAGCTGGTGGGAGTATTTGTTATTGTCCTCATTATAAACCACTCATACGCAGCATGATACCAGATTTTGACAGGGCAAAAATAGAACACAATTAGCTGATGAACCACTTAAACATACTGCATGTGCGAATTACTACCAAATACTGCCTTTATATATCACTTCTGAGGTGTAGGCAGGGCTGTTTTCAGCCTGAGGATTTAAGACCATATAGCTAGTGCTGTCACCACGACTGTGCAGGTGAGGATTTTATTTTGCCTCCAACTGAAAAAATCCCCAGTTTTCCCAAGGATTCGAACCTAGGTCTCCCACATGGGAGCCCAGCGTTCTCACGGTTCCACCAGCCGCTCCTCACTGCATGTGCACATTTACATTTTCCATCTGTATTTGTTGGTGCAGTTGGACTTGCTTTAAAAATGTGCTTCATATGTCTTCTGATGTTGAAATGATAATCTTCTTTTTTTTTTTTTATCATCGCACTTTTACTGAGTTCCCAGTGTCTTGGTTTTTCAGTATCTGTCTTGCATTTCTCCAGTGGCTTGGATGATGCTTTTATTCATCTTTTTTGTGGTTTTTAGGTATGTAGGTAGTTGTACCCCACCAGGAAATCCCACAAGCGATAAACACCTGTGGAGATGTCCCAGAAACCCCTTTCAGCCGTTAGGCCAAATCTATGCCCCGGCTATATTCAGGGCACCCGACAAAAGCCAATGTGGGGCTTCAAATAACAAAAAAAAATTACATCCCACATGGGGACAACTTGCAGTATTTAGCCACTTCTTTCTTGGTCTTTCTCTCACCTCCCATCTAGATTGTCGACTGTAGAAGTTCTCATATATAGTCTTGTCTGGCTGCGTTCTTTTAGATGACCAAATTAGCATCATTCTCTGTCTTCCATTGTAATTCAGGGGTGGTCTTGTTCCAGCTTTCTCTCTAATGCTGGTACTCGTGACATTGTCCCTTCTTGTGCTGTTAGTGACCTTGCAGAGACAGCACATTTCACATGTAATTATTTTCTATTTCTGTAGTCTACTCATTGTCCATGTTTGGCATTGATAGCACAAAGTGTGGATGAAGATGCTTTTGTTAGTCATTTGTTGTTTTGCTGGGAGACTTTAAGAATATAATTGCCTTAAAAAACCAAACAGCTTTAAAAAGAAAACACAAAAAAACTGGAGTTGTTTCTTCATTGTCCAGTGAATGATATGCAACTAATTTATTTAAATATACTTGAACAAGGAAATTATATTATGATTGTTGTACTAGGGCTAACCCAAAATCAACTTCCTGTTAACTGGTAAAAATAAATCTTTTGCCACAGTGACATTGTTCATTACTTTCATCATTCACTAGTCTTTTTTAGCTCACTAGTCACATTTTTTTCAGTGATTCATGAATTACAAATAAATAAACATGGACACTGTTATTGCCTTTCCTGCCAGGGTACTTAGCCACTTGTTGACTCTATCCATGAGCTCCTCTGTGATGTCAAAGCATTGGGTAGCCAGCCAGACCTTAGTTTTGCTGAAGAGATGATTATCACTTAGTGCCAAGTCCTGGCTGTAATTGGGAACCACTTCTCTAGTTTTGTAACAGTGAAAATACCTATAACCCGTTAACCCTGTCACCCTGATAATGCTTTAAAAGTGGGCCATGACCCTGTGAGATTTTCTGAAAAATCCTATTTTTAAAAAAAATATTTAAAAAATTGTTTGCTCAGTATATATATTTTAAGAATATAAAGATATACAAAGGGAGTTATCAATAAACACAAACAGTGTGAATCATTAAATGGAATACGTTTCCCGGGGCCAAACAGGTGGCTGATGCTGTGACCCATAACCTTTATCACTAAGGCTGCAGGAAAATGTGATGTCTACTCAGCTTTAAAGAAGTTAATTGGTTCACAGGAAAACAACCCTAAATGCTTCTTTTAGCTAATGTATTCATATCCTGACCTCCTAAACATTTGCACAGACCCAAACTCAACAAGTAGCATTAATTTTGTATCTTGTAAACACATCATTGTTGACAGGTTAGAAAAGTGACATTTACAAGGAAATGGATCTAATCAGATAATAATAATCTTGCCTCTGCTGAGAAAGTAAAATTCCACCATACTCGACAAGCAAATACTCTGATAGCCTATAATAAGATGGTTTAGTTTGACGTTAGTCTCCCCAGACCCTGCCCATATACACACTAGCTAACTTCTGATTGGTAGTTCCTGAGCCCCTTGACCTTTGCACCTGATTACGAGAGTGTTCAGCAATGCAGTTGATATCATGTGTTGTATATTTCAGCACGCTAGTGCTTTTAACACTCCAAAAACATGGAGAAACTGGGTCTAACACAACTCCCCTTTTCCCAGAGAGTGCTGCAACCTATGTCACAGGCATTCTCTATCTCTGAATAAAAACGTAAATGCAAGACATAGCAGAAACCAAACAACAGAGCGGGACACACCCGTAACCTTCAGAAAAGTCGACCAGCCCAACAAACTTGTAAAGGAAAAGTGACCTACTCTATTTGGGGAAACTAAAGTCAAACTAACCAATAAGATGTAGGTATCCAAGGATATAAGCAAGTTGATAGGCTTGCAGGAAAGGTCACTGTGAAGGGCAAATGAACCCCAGACTGGCTTAATGCTTTGCGAGATGTAAGGTGTTTCCAAGAACCAAGCGCTAATTGTGAATCTGCAACCGTGATCAAACTGCAAGAACAGCAGTAAAAAAAAAAGGTGTGACCAAACAAGAGCACTACACAGGAAACACAGAACTGGTGTCATCAGCCAAAACTTGCTGTGGGATTTCCTGATAAGGGGGTCCAACCACTTATGAGATGAATGGTTTGGTGTGCGATGAGGAGATCTGTTGACTGACTGACTAGCCCATATTAAGAATCACACTATTCTTCTATGCCATATGCTTTTATGTTGTTGAATTTTAGGACGAATATGGCACTGCAGCCTACAAAACTGTAGAACTGGATACCTATCTAAACGATGCCCCAATTCAGCACCGGGAGGTGCAGGGTCATGAGTCTGAGCTATTTAAATCCTACTTCAAGACTATCACGTGAGTGACCTATTTTTCATGACGGCTATCGCCCTTGAATCAAGGATGTTTGCAAACTATCTGATTGTATTTGATACAGTAGGTTTGTTGCCTGGTTGAATGTTTACTAATTAGTTACATTTTTATAGATAACACATGAGATGTAAATAAAGAGTCCACCTATGTTGAGTTGAGTAAAGAATTGACATCATAGCACTCGGGGCATTCCCATGCATGGTCCATCCTCATCTTCAGCAGCCAGCGCAGAGTTCCAATACTGACGGTACCGGTCACAGTCTGGTTATATGTCCGTCTCGCCTTTCCTCTGTGTGTAGTGAGCCGGCCAGACCCTCTGGTTGAGTCTGTCGATGTGTTTTGGGGCTCCATTTTTGGCAGACAAGAAAAGACCCCTGCCCCCCAAACAAGTTTCTTGTAAACTGTTTTCTCCAAAGTCGGTAATGTGTCAAAAAATAGGAAATTACTAAGACTGCAGTTTGGAGTGGCTTATTTGGCTATAGCAGAAGACATCTGTACTGTATGTCGGATAAATAATAATATTCTTCTTCTTCGCATTCACTGGCTGTAAACTCTGGCAGAAAGTTTGGTTGTTTATCCAACTTTGGTCTTGTTCTAGAACTTTACTGTTGTGCCCACATCCATATTACAGATCTGGCTTTTTTGTATGCAGATTGTTGGTTCTCTGCCTCTCAGGCAGATGCACTTCAGCCTCGAAGGAAGCATCCAGTTAGTCGACTCTTACAGCATGCTTTTTGGGGAGTCAGTGGGTCTGTTCCTGTTTTCCCCACAATGGGTCCCCAGAACCCATATGAGGAATAATAATAATAGTGAACATTATTTGCTATGCAGCAAAAAATACGATCTCCAAAGGACACCCCCTTCACGAATATATGATCCATTGCAATAACCCTATGAAATAGAAAACATGCTGGGAGAGATGGTTCTAGAGAACTATAGGGAAGGATTAAACAGGACATCACAAGAACAGTGGTTAGCATATAATGTGGTAATATAACTTAAGACAGAATCATGGTATTTCAGATCACTTTAAATAACTGTAAGGATATTTACAGATTAACATGGTCCCTGGTAGTTAGCATCCTTTGGATATTTTCTCAAGGTCATGCCGGTGTGTGTTGGAAAATGAGCAGGCAGACAGACTGGCTGGCTCAGCACCACTTGGTGGTGAACTGATATATGACAAGCTAGATGTTGTGAGGACCTTTTGAGAGCGAGTAAACATTGTGGAGGCACAGATAGATCATTACGGTCTGGGGAGAATGGTGATGCAAGGAGTTACCAGGGGATCTGGCCGACACTCAACACTCAGGGGAAGGATGAGACGGATATACAATCAGATTGTTACTGTTAGCATCAAAATTGGAACTCTTCGCTTGCTGCTGAAGATGGGGACTGAGCACTTATGGGAGTGCCCTGAGTACTGTGATGCCAGTTCTTAATTCAACATTTAACATAAAGATAGATTACACAGTATAGTTATTATTCTCCTACAGTTTTATACAGTTCACATATAAGCTGTGCAGTATTGAATAACCAAACAAAATTGATAGCATAAGTATCTATTATTGAACCAGAAAAATTTATGTATATCCGAGTTAAAACATGGCTTGGTTTAACAGGATGTTGTTGATTATATTACTACTATTACTGCTGCATCTGCTTCAGAGGCGAGGAACCAGCAGTATGCATAGAAATAATCCTTCTTCTTCTTCAGCATTCCGAGCCCTTGAGGTTCATTGCTGCAGATATCACCCACCTCATTTCATCTCTCTGGTTGGCCTTCTCTTTCCAGTTGGTGACACCAAGTGTTTGCAGGTCTGTCTGGACATTATTTATCCATCGTCTTCTTGATCTGCCTCGTGGTCTATGACCATGCATCTCCCTTGTGTATACAGTTGTCACTTTTCTGTCATCTGACATTCTTTCAAAATGTCCAAACCATTTCAGTCTATTAGCTCTCCTGATGTTAGTGATCAATGCTGTAGAAATAATCAAAATCTTTAAAATGGATTTGAATGCAAAACTAAAGTTCTGGAACAAGTCAGAACTTTCTGCTGGAGTCTATAGCCATGTATGCAAATTAGAAGAAATGCCAGTTAATTCTATGAACTGAAATGAAAATATTTATTTAAGTTGAAAAATTTTCTGATTACAGAATCATGAATGGAGGTGCTCAGACTGGCTTTCGACATGTACAGCCAGAAAAGTACAAGCCCAGACTCCTCCACTTCTCGGGGCAGAAGAAAAACATTGTAGTTAGAGAGGTGGGTTTGTTAGGCAACTGTCTTAACTTTATGTAAAGTATATGTGAATAAGGAAAGTCGCCGTGGCGTCGACGGCTAGACGCCCACCTGCGGATCAGAAGGTTTTGGGTTTGCCTCCTGACGGAGCCAGATTTTTTTTAAAAATGACCTTGACTCCCAGGTTGACCCAGCCTTGAGTGGGTCTCAGGTGCAGTCCTGGGAAGTAGAGGTAGCCACCATAATGCTGACCACATCACCCACCAAGTGCCGATTGGTCTATAAAAATCTAGGTCGAGCCCTATATTCCCAATACACTTAAAGGCATGGAAAAGGGACCTTTACTTTACTTAAGTGTGAATAAGGCAAAGTTAGGTGGCCAGTGCAATGCTGACATCTGTCATAAGACCACATTGCCATATACCTAAGTGGTCTCAATGCAGATCATCATAGTCTGAAATAACAGTGCAGCTAGGGGTGACCAAGGGATCTGGCTGACACACAGCATGCAGGGGAAGGCTGACATGGACAGACTTCTTCTTCGTGCTCACCGGCTGTAACTCCAGTGGAAAGTTCTGGTTGTTTGCCCTCTTTTGGATTTTAGTCTTGTTCCAGAACCTGATTGTTTTGTGCACATTTATTTAAATATCTGGCTTATTCATTTGCAGACTCTTGGTTCCTTACCTTTCAGGTAAATGCATTCCGACTTCCAAAGAAGCCTCTGGTTGGTTGACTCTTACGACATGCTTGTTGGGGAGGCAGTAGATCTGTTCTTGTTTACCCCACAGTGGGGTCCTGGAACCCACATGGGGACAGATGTGTTAACAGTCAGACTGATAACGCGAATTAGGAGTAAAGATCGGCACCGCCAAGCATGAGAAGCACACCAGACGCACACAAAGTCTTGTTAACCAACATAGGACTGGTACTATTAACCGCACGATGCTAATGAATATGTTGAGAGGGGAATCTGAGCACCTATGGATGTGTCCGGAGTGCTGTGAAAATAATCTAACTCATAACTCAAAACTCAGTCAGACTGTTACTAGTCCCATCAGAATTGTAACTCTGCGCTTTCTGCTGAAGATAGAGATGGAGCAATTGTGGGAATGTCATGAGTGCTATAATTTTGGTTTTTAACCCATAACTCCACAGTGAACAGACTAGGATATATTAAACAGACAAGATATCTAGAAACTAAACAGACTAAATACTTATCAGACTAGACAATTAAAACACTAGACATGCAACAGATTAGGAAAAAACTTAAATTAATAGGCTAGACATTTTAAATTCTAGGATCTAGACACTAGATATAGTATTACAATAAACAGAATATTTATTAAACAGACCAGACACTAAATAGACTAGAAACTAAGCCATCTTGAATCTAAATTAAAAGACCTGATACCAGACAGTAAAGAGACTAAACACAAGAGAGACCAGACACTACATAGACTAGGCACTGAAACTTCTAATCTACAAAAATCTACAATTGATGACTTATACCTCTTTGGGAGATGACGGACAGAAGAAGACTGATTAATTTAGTTTTATTTTGTAAAAGATCATATGTGGAAATTCAATATTTTAATTTACAGGTGCCTCTGAGCAAGAAACAGATCAAATCTGATGATGTTTATATCCTTGACCTTGGTACAACTATTTACCAATGGAATGGTTCTGGAAGCAACAAAGATGAAAGATTTAAGGTAACTGCTGTTTTATGAGACAGATAGATTGGATAGTTCTGCACCACCGGGTGGTGAATTGATACACACTAAAGCAGATGTTAAGGCCTTTTGGAAACAAGCAACGCAATCAGTAGAAAATATGGCCTGGGGAGAATGAGGCACCTGGGTGTAACCAGAGGGTCTGGCCGGTTCACTACACTGAGGAAAGGTGAGGCGGACATATAACCAGATTGTGACCGGTTCAATCAGTATTGGAACTCTGCGCTGGCTGCTGAAGATGAGGACATAGCATGCATCGGAATGCCCGGAGTGCTGTGATGTCAATTCTTGACTCAACTTGTGGTAAATTGATGCATGACAAGTTAGATATTACCAGTGTCCTTTAGGAGTGAATAAACAATGCAGAGGTACAAGTAGATTATTATAGTCTAAAGCAAATGGGGGGGGGGGGGGGGAGGTGAGTAGTCGAATCTGGCCAACATTCAGGTAGCATAGTTTGGCTGATACTGGAACCATCACAGTTGCAACTCTTAACTTGCTGCTGAAGATGAGTATGGGAATCACTAGAATAGAGTGCTATGATATCAGTTGTAAACTCAACTCACTTGACTTTTGGGACCCTTACTTATTTTTTTAAACTTTGTTTTTTAAATTTTGTATCAGCAGCTAAAACTCTTTTTTTAATTTTATTTTAAAGCATTGGTATAAATTTTAGAACAGTCATCAGTTGGAAGATTTAAAGCAAACTGATTGGCTACTGAAATGTATGATGGGAAATCTGCACAAGAATCTAATGGTTAAATTTAATGTCAGGGACAAAACTAACCAAATTTGCATGAGGAGCTTCTTCTGGCTGTGGTGAAACTGTCACAAGCTAGCTTGGTCCAGGAGTCACAGTGGCCAAGCAGCTAGACGCAGCCTTGAGTGGGTACGGGGTACGGGGAAGTAAAGGCGGCCAGCGTGATGCTGACCACACCAACCTTCTTGTGCCGATTGGTCTATAAAAATATTGGTCTAGCCCTATATGCCCTCAATGCCTAAAGGCGTGGAAAAGGGTCCTTTACTTTTTCTACTTACTAGCTTGGTCCTGGCACATAATGAGACATTGCAAAGTCTTAACTTCAAGGAACATTGGGGGATAGTCAAAAATAATGTAGGACAAAGAAGAAGCTGCAATGACAACATCAAGAAATTGACAGGACCTAATTACTACCACTTGCTTGAAACAAGCCGAAGACAGAGAAAGATGGCAGGTTTTGTGTGAAAGTGCTTCCATTGGTTCACCTCTAGGACCTTAACAGGCCAGGGGTTATATTATATTATAAAACTCATTTCCAGCGGTTTTCGAGCATTGACACATATTCTTGGGAGTCGTATGGTGGGATTTAGAGCACTTGCTTGAGACAAGCGCGAAGCGGATCGGAGATGGCGTGGGTTGTTTTAACAGTGCTCCCATTGGCGTAGATGGACTTTATATTTAAAAAACTGACCTTGGAGCATTGACAGGTCGACCCAGTCATTGAGTGCTGTGATTAACAACAAAACCTGGGTGCAATCCCGGCAAGTAGAGGCGGCCGGCGTGATGCTGACCACATCATCTGACCATCTCCATGTGCCGTTGTGTCTATAAAACCTCAACATCTCTAGGTCCATAGCCTTTGTGCCCTATACGCCTAAAGGCGTGGAAAGGGTCCTTTATTTTACTTTACTTACTTATTTGACATAAATTTGTAGGACAGTCATCGGGTGAAAGCTGTGATTAACAACAAAATAGGTGTAGTAAAAGCTGCATTTCAGAAGCTGGATTTTGAGAAAATAACTTAGTGACCCCTAGTAAGACACTGTTACTTTTTCTTGTGATTACTTTTGTCCCTTTCAATGTGCATTCCATGATGTTGATCCATGAGCTTCAGTGAACCTCAATCTCTACTTTTGTCCATGTCTGCTTTGTGCTGCTTAGGCATTGCTGTTCAATGACAACAGAGAGCTGAGCTAGGGCATTCTCAGTTTGCTGTGATTTTGTGAATTAATGAGCTGTCAGTGACCCCTTTCAATCCACTTTATTAATTTGATTTTTATTGATCTTCCTCCTCATATTAACATTATCATGTTGTACGCTCTTCTTATTGTGGGGTGGGGGAGGGGGAGAAGACTCATTGGCTCTCTGACAAGTATGTAGTAAGAGATGACTAGTTAGAGGTTTCCTTTAAAGTTGGAGTGCATATGTCTGAAAGGCAAGGAACTAACAGCTGGCAAACAGATAAGCCAGATCTGTAAAACGGATATGCACACAAAACTATGTTATTGAACAAGACTCAAGTCCAGAAGTGGACAAATAACCAGAATTGTTTATAATAGTTTACTCACAGCAGGTGAACGCAAAGAAGATGATGTTGTGCGCTCTCAGAGACGGCATCATTGGAATCATTTTCACTAGGCGGCAGAATCCCCGTCTTTGTCTTTCGATGAAATTAATGATAGATAATGTTCTAGTAAATGAAAATAAATAGAAAAGGATCCCTTTAGATGCCTTTAGGCGTTTATGGGCATATAGGGCTAGACCTATATTTTATAGACCGATTGGCACATGATGGGTGATGTTGTCAGCATCACATCGGCCGCCTTTACTTCCCGGGATTGCAGCCGGTAAACACTCAAGACTGGGTTGACCTTGGAGCCAAGGTAATTTTTGAGAAAAGTCCGGCTCCACCAGGAAGCAAACCCACGACCTTCCAAACCACGGCAAGCCTCTAGCCGCTCTGCCACGGCAACTCCCTAGTGTTCCAGTAGTTCTCATTATCTCTTCATTTTACCATTTGTATTGGAACTCTACGCAGGGTACTTAAGATGGGGATGGCGCACTTATAGAGTGCTTGAATCAACTCAACTCTTCATGTTTTTGCCAGATCTCTCGTAGTTTTTACCTTTCACTAACTGTCATGAATATAGTAATGATGAATTTATTTTTTATAATTAAAGTCATTTTTTTACGCAACGATTTCTTTAATTTTTTTTTTTAATATGAAGAGAAGTCATCACTAAATACTAACGCAACAAAGAAATTACTGGTTTTCTTCCATTTGGCCAAGAAAATTTGGGGTTTTGTTAACACAGCTACAGAGAGCAAAGGAAGCGGGCCATAAATATGGGCTAGCCATAGATAAATATGGATTATGAGGTGATCCTCATCCGCATGTTGTCGCTTTGTGTAACCAGGTGTTTATCACTTGTGTGATGTTCTGGTGGGGTACAACTACCTACCCACCTACCTCCTGTGTCTACCTTAATGCTTTAATACACAACCAAGGTCACCTCTATGTGAAATGCAATTTTTCATTATTTTGAAACCCCAACCTAGCTGTTGCCAGGGGCCGCAATATAGCCTGGCGGTTTAACCCCATTTCTGGGATCCCTCCACGGGTGATCCTCATTCACATGGTGGCACTTTGTGTCACCGGGTGTTTGTCACTTTGTGTGATGTCCTGGTGGGGTAACATTTACTCACCTACTTACCCTAATGCTGGTCTATCCCTGCCCCTGTATTTTGTGCTGGGTTTCTTAGGATGAATAGGGTAGTTTTTCCCTGGTTTTCCACATCTACATGGCTTTATCCCGAGTTCTCTGCCAAGAAGAATAATTTTAAGTGTGAAAAACAGTATCAGCTGTCTCAACCCTTAGGCAACTCACCATGCGTCTGTTGATAAATGGTAATGATACATAGTGTTAATTGAGTTCTCAGAGCATATATATTTGTTATTTTAAATTTATATATTAGGTGGTTTTTTATATGACCGAAATGTAATTTGTATTGTTTTACATTTTGCTTTTATTTGAGTTGAGGTTATGATAGAATTTGTATTATGAATAATTAGACAATCTTACTAACATTGTGTCATTCAAACGGTGGATATATTGTTTCCTTAGTGTGCAATCATTGATTATTCTCATCGATTTTATCTTTAGGGGAAACTACTTCAAAGATGCCATGGGTATACTTTACCCTTCTATATATGGATTTTATTCCTAGTAATAAACTACTTGACCTTGCCACGCAGCTCTCTGGGGCTGTTTGCGGCAAGTTTTCTATCATCATACGTCATTTACAGAGACTCATATAGTCAGTTAATGGTTGTCTTTAATTTTCATATTTCCTGCACTCCAGCAAATATGCGCTTGTAGTGCTATTATTTTTTGTGCTTTAGGCTCAGACATTTATTAGTTACAATCATATATTTTTGGGATATAACATGATTAAGTATAATCTGACGTGAAATTCAAAGAGTTAAGGACTAGGAGATAGTTCATGACATACAGTCCAAAGACATTATGTAAACCTAAACCCTCATAAGCCAGAAAAATGACTTTATTAAGGTGAGACTTGTTTCTTTTATCTTCTTATTACTTACTTTCTCCATGTGGGTTTTCAGGGCCTTTTTGTGGGAAAACAAGAATAGACCCACTGCTTCCCCAATAAGCATATCCTTGGAGTGGACTAATTAGGAGCCTCCTTCAAAGTCCCGCCAGAGCTTACAGCCAGTGAATAAACAAGAAGAAGAAGTTATTTACTTTCATTTCTATAGTTTTTCAATATATCATTCATCCTGTTTAAATCAGTAGTCTTTGTACTTGGATCATATTCAAACTGTAAAACAAGGTTCTCCAGCTAATAAAGAAACCATCTAATCCATTTATTGATGCTTTATATTTTTCAGCATCCGTTCTTCAAAGCCCTGACCGCTGAAAATGATGATGATGACAATGAAGATGAGGTAGATTCCCAAGATACAACAGTAGAATTGTTCAGGTACAGTCAAACTTTGATTAACTGTCAATTGTTTAACCATCAGTTTCTGTTGTCCGTCATCATTCATCCCTTTAACTCACTGAGCAGTAAATGGATTTGCAAGGAATGCCAATATGTATAAATAACCAGTAGAAAAGAAAAAAAATGAGTATATTACTTTCAGATAAGCTAAAAACTGTGGGCGCCAGATTTTCTTTGTGTACTCCGGTCAAATGTAAAAAATACTAGAACATATAACATGTTGGTTAGGATTCACAGAAGACCTAAGCAAACATAATACTCAGTTTGGGACTGAAAAAGTTGAAAGTTCTTTGACATCGTATTGTAGTTTATGACTAGGCAGGAATATCATTCATTCCAACAATTTCTCTCTCTTAGTCGATGCCATGGGGCGTTGGTAGTCGTCTGTCCACAAACCTTCTGCCTCATGTACTTTCAGTCTGTTCTGACACAGATGATCTTCCCTGCCATAATGTCAGACTGCCCAGCATCTTCTCTCTCTGTGTGCCCTGCCTCTCTTCCCTCCAGCTTTTCTACTGTCACAATGTTCTCTAGTTTTCTCCTTTTAATGACACAACCAACAGCTTCAGCAAATTCTTTATTGGTCACCCTTTATGTCATGCTGGTAAAGTGGCACAGGGTCTGTCCCTCCCACCCCAAATGGGACCCAGGACCCACACAGGAAAAAGAGATAACGGAAGGTAAGAAATCACAGAGAAGGAATTAAATTGTGTGAAACAACCAAAACTGGGCAAAACTGCCCGACTATCACCTGATAGTAGTGGATACTGAGAACGTGTCACCTATACAAACTAAAGACTCAAACTAATAATCAAAGCGCAAACAATATAAAATGAGCAAAACTGGGTTATACTGTATACAACACTAGTGCAATGTGAAGACAGGGATGCTTCGAGCAGAGTGGCAAGCTTCACTGGGAAGGTCACTGGTAGTGAGCATACTTCGGATATTTTTCTCCAGGCCATGCCGGCGTGGTGGATAATAAACAGGCAGACAGATTGGCTAGATCGGCACTACTGGGTGGTGAACTGATACATGACAAGGCGGATGTGGTTAAAGCCCTTTGGGAACAAACAACGGAATCAGTAGAGAAATCAGATTTTAATGGCCTGGAAAGAATGAGGCACCTGGATGCAACCAGAGGGTCTGCCCGGCTCACTACACTCAGAGGAAAGGCAAGACAGACATACAACCAGATTGTGACTGGTACCATCAGTACTGGAACTCTGCGCTAGCTGCTGAAGATGAGGACGGAGTACACACGGGAATGCCTTGAGTACTATGATGTCAATTCTTGACTCAACTCACTAAACTCAACAACACTAGTGCCTGTTTAAGGCTTGGTCACCCTGGGAGGTGGAGTCATTTATTTTAAAAAAGAAAAAAAATATTGTCGTGATCCGAACCCATGCCTTCAGATCAACAGGTGATCATCTGGCAACGACCCCACTGCGGCTCTCTTGAGTGTATGTGTATATATACATATACATGTGTGTGTGCAGACACTTATACATGCATTCCCACATGGACGTGCAATTGTGAATGTTATGTGTGTGTATATATGTATATATATATACATGAATATATATATAAATATAAGTAATTGTAAATATGTGTCTATATAAGTCTGTATAGTGTATACCAGCCCACTCCCCACCAACCCTCACTAGATACTTGAGTACCGCTCCAAGTCACAAGTTTTGGTGCAATTAACATTTCTTAGCCAACACAATTGGCACAAAGAAACCAGACCACAATTGTAAACAATACTGCTTGTAGTAGGTTGAACATGGTCAATTGTTTTGTTTTTGTTTTTATAAAAGGATGGAAGGGAAAAGTCTGTGTATGGAAACCACCATTGTAAGAAACAGACTGCTGGTGATTGGCTGCAGCCAAGCAGTACTGAGGCGATGACAACTGGTTGTTTCTGGATTTCACAGCTGTCTCCTATTCATTACTGCCAGTCCACTGTATGTATTTTGGGGCCCCATTGGGGGAGGAAGGGGGGAGGGGGTGGGATAAACCCACTGTCCCCTAACAAGCATGTCATAAAAGGTGACGGATTAGATGTTTCTTCAAAGCCTGAGTGTATCTGCCAGAGAGACAAAGAACCAAAGGCCTGCATTTCTATAAGGCAGATCTGTCAAACAGATGTGCATGCAAAACTCAAGTTCTGGGTCAGAACCAAAGCCTTGAAGAAGACGAACAACCAGAACTTTCCACTCAAGTGTACAGCCGGTGAAAGCGCAGAGGAAGAAGACAAAAATAACTGCCAGTAATCATTCTCACATTTCCATTATCTAGACTGTCTGATGCCAGCGGCAAGTTGACTTTCAAAGTCGAGAAGAAAGGAACAGTGAGCCAAAGAGACCTGGACTCAAAGGTAATTTTTCTTTTCACTGTTTAGTAGTTTATTTTATAATACAGTAAAACTTGGTAGCATTACCACTTATTTAAAAACAAGCTGATGTTTATTTGTTGCATTCTCCTGTAGCTTATGAGCAATTTTGTTTTTTAAAGTTTTGATTTCTTGGTAAGCATTTGTTTCTTCCGTTAATGGCAGATATAATATTTTATGTTACAATTAGAAACAGTAGAAAAACTTATATTCTACTTTAAACAACAACAGCAACAAAATACCAAGAAAGACTTACTGAATTATATATGTTTATAGTTCAATCAATTTTTTTTTCTAAACTAATCATCAGCATCATCATCAAGTGCCTTGTTGACCAATGTTGGCAATCGTGCCTCTCCACAACCTGTGATCTCCAGCAGCATCTATTATTTGATGTGCCGACACCTCTCCACACCATGAAAACAAAAAGGCTGTCAGAAATCTTCTTAAATTGTCTTCCTCTAGCTCTCTTTCCCCAAGTCTTTCCAGTGGTCACCACTTGTTCCAATGTTCCTCTTCTCATAACATGCTAGGATGCTAAACTAGGATCATATTTAATTTGATTTGATAGATTTTTATTCAATTGTTTGTTTTATTACATATTTTGAAAACAAACATTTTTTTTTTTTTTTTGCTGCAGGATGTGTTTATTCTTGATACTAAGAAATCTCTGTTTGTGTGGGTGGGTAATGGCACGTCCCATGGAGAAAAGAAGAATGCATTACAGTATGCTCATGTAAGTTTTAACTCTTTACAACTTTTTATTTCTGACAACTTAAGGATACAAAAGTAATTTTGTTTTAAGAACATGCATCATTATTGAGGCAACCCCTATGGAGCCCCATTTTGAGGGGAAAAGAATGGATCCACTGCCTCCCTAACAGGCATGCCGGTCGTAAAAGGCGACTGATTAGGGATTTTTAAAAATTAAAGTATGGAAATATATAAACAACCAGACATTTTCCCCAGAGTTTTTAACTGGTGAACACAAAGAAGAAGAATTCATACTGAAACATGTTTATATAAATAAAGGATTGTTTCATGATCATTTTGAAAAAAAAATTACTATTTTAAACTTTACTAATACCAGAATTATTTTTTTTTTAATATTGTGAAGAAAGAAGAAGGAAGGTGCTTTATTCTATAAAATATTAGATCAGAATAAGATCAGCTTTTTGGGAACGTGTACACGGAGCAGGGGCACAAATAGGTCATCATGGTCCGAAGACAATGGAGCAGCAAGGAGTGACCAGGGAATGTGGCCCGATGCTCAACACTAAGGGGAGCGATGAGATGAACATACAGTCAGACTGTTATTGGTTACACTGGAACTGGAACTCTACCCTGGCTGCTGAAGATGGGGATGAAGTGTTTATAGGAATGTCCTGTGTGCTGTGATGTTGGCCTTAACTTAAAACTCTTTAAGATCCTGAAATAAAAGTAAAAACCCCCCATGTGGGTTCCGGGGCCCTATTGTGGGGAAAACAAGAATAGACCCACTGCCTCCCCAAAAGCATGTCGTAAGAGTCGACTAACTGGGGAGCTTCCTTTGAAGTCGGAGTGCATCTGCCTGAGAGACAAGGAACCAGCAGTCTGCATTCAATTGAATCAGATCTGTAAAACTGATGCACATGCAACACTCAGGTTCTGGAGCATGACTGCAGTTCAGAAGTGGACGAACAACCAGAACTTTACGCCAGAGTGTACAGCTGGTGAACATGAAGAAGAAAAGAAGAAGAAAAGTAAAAACTAGTTTCAGTTTAGGGAAGTTGCCAACTTCATGATAAACAAATGATCCCAAAATTGCGCTATTCTCACAGAATTTCCATGGCTATTCCTGGTCATATTTGGCACAGTCAAAAAACAAGAAGGGAGCTAGAGAGTCAAGTTAAAAAGATGGGGAGGACATGGGGAGAGCTGCATGCGATAGTGAAGAATAGAACAGCTTGGCATGAATTGGTTGAGGGCCTATGCTCCAATGGGTGGTTAGAAGGCAGAAGAAGAAGAAGGCTATGTTATTTTCTGCAAAGACCTACTACCTGATGTTATATTTAAATGTCTTGCAAACTGTTTGTTTTTTTAAATTAACCTTTTCACCCGGAAGCACTTAAAAAAAAAACAGCTGGCCTGGTTAAATCCCCCCTCCCCCTTTTTTTTTTTCCAAAAACAAATCAACAAAAAAAAAATTCATTTGAAACAGGTCACAAACAGATGTTTATTATTCTACATTGATAATAATTGTGTAATATGTTAAAGGCGATCTCACCTAACAAAAACAAAGTGAAGTATTAAATGGAAAATATTACTTAGGGCCAACAAACTGTATGATGTAACTCACACTGTGACCCTGTGACCTTATCGGGAATTCTAATAATAAAGCTACTAGCCAGTTATGACATTTGGAGTGCTTTTTCTTGTACAAAAAACCCACTTCAAGTGATTTTTTTGTTTAACACTAAATTTGTTCATATTTGGGCCTACTAAACACTTTGCAGGTGCAAACAAAACCAATAGCATTAACTAGGTTTCTTTGGAACAGACTGTTGCAGAAATGCCAGATGAGTGGCATTTAAAAAAATGTCGCACATGGAAATGCCAGATTCACTGCTTCTCAAGATGACATTGTAAAGAAACCGACCCTGCAGATTGAAATGAAAAATGTCATTTTCAGGTGACATGAATGGGCAATCAGAGAGAGAGATAATAAACAGAAGAAAATAGAGACAATGAGAACAGATTATTAGAAGCACTGTGCACACAAACTGCATACAAATCCACACACCTGATGGGTCAGTAGGAATTTGAGCTTGTGTTGACTGGACTGGTAAGTGAGCATGCTAGTTTCTACACTTCTAGAGCTCATTATGGCCGACTAGCAATCTAAAAGCAATCCCCTGGCCTCAGCATATAAAAACTGGTCAGCGTATAAGTTGATGGTAAACATCATTTAACATATTCCCCATGTGTTTTTCAGGACCTTATTTTTATTGTATGGTGGGGGTAGTTTTACTGCCCCCCTTCCCCCCACAACAAGAATGTTGAATATTGAATTAAGATTCAACATCATAGCACTCATGACATTCCCATAAGTGCTCCCTCCCCATCTACAGCAGCAGGCGAAGAGTTCCAGTTCCGTTGCACCAGTAACTGTCAGATTGTACATCTATCTCACCTTTCCTTTCAATGATGAGCATTGGCCAGATCCCCTGGTAACTCCCTGCAGTGCCATTCTCCTCAGACCATAATGATCTTTTTGTGCCTCCACACTGTTCACTAATTTCACATCCAACTTGTCATACTTCAATTCACCAGCAATTGGTGCAGAACCAACCAGTCTGCCTGCCAGCTCATTTCCCAACACACCAGTATGACGTGGAGAAAATATCCAAAGTAAGGTAACTATGCAGGACCTCTGAATTGATGTTTGCCACTCTGCATGGATCATGTCTGTCTCCACCTTTCTCAACATACTCTGTGACTCCAACAACAAGCAAACGGCGGTTAATTGGGGGTTAGCAGAAATTGGATGTTAAGCCGAAAAGTGCAGATATTGAGATCTAACTGCAAACCACAACACAGAAAAGGTGAACTCAAAAGAAGAAGATTTTCACATGATTTGGGTGATCTGATGTATGTAATTCATTTTTTTCAGGAATACCTCATGAAGACCAGCCATCCTTTCATTCCAGTGACCTGCCTAAAGGAAGGTCAGAAAAACCAGGAATTCCAGGCAGCCATTGCTGCTTGAACTCAGTCACAGAACTAACTGCTCTTTTGTCTGTCTTTGGACTTTGCTGCATCCATTGAGGCAATTTGACTCTAATGATGTATTATTTTTTATCAGTTATTCCCTTTTTTTTTTTTGTATTTGTTATGGATGTGTTGAATTTCTCGGTTGTTTATCATTTTTATATGGAGAAAAGGCAGTAAAACCGTCTAACACAAACTCGCTTCTGAACAGTCATTTAACTTGAACAAAACTTTAATCCTAACAGGAATATATTATTTTTATAAGTCCTCTCTTGTCAGGTTTTTTTTTTTTACAGGAGTCTAGTTTTCTGTCCTTTGGAATTCTTGTTGATATGGTGTTGCTTTTGTGAATACTTGAATTATATTTGTTGAAACTAGTATAGTTTGTTTTACATCGTTTATTTGTTTTACATTAGACGTATTGAGCCAGTAGGGGAGACAACTTCCCTGCAAGAAGTTTATTTAAAGAGTGTCTTTAACATTTGATACTTCTCTAATTAGTCTTTCAGTATGGTGAAGTTGTCAGCCTGTGTAGTTTTTATTGAAATAACTGCCATCTTTCATATTCTTCTTTTTAGCAGAAGTTACCCAGTGACTTGTTAGTTTATGAAACTTATTTGCCACCCTTTAGTTAGTTTATCACATTTCCAGTTTCACAGCAAACGGGTTGCCCCATATTTGCTCCGTTTCTGCATCAGCGAAAACATACAGAAGGACCATTTCTATCCCTTATGGACAAATTTAAAGAGACTGCAGTCTTGGAAAAGTCAGCAGCATACACATGCATTAAATTGCATAAGGCAGTCGTCAGAAGCACAGCACAAACATTCCACCATCCTTTACTTGTCAGCAAAATTGAGATAATTTTCTGTGGAAAAACACAGCTAGGTAATAACATGATAACTTGCTATTTGAATTACATATCTCATCTCTGAATATCTATTTTTCTTCTTTTTTTCTTCTTGGTGTTTGGTTTCATATGCTCATGTCAGACTGTCAGATGGGCTGTCACTATGAACTCTTATGTTATTTACAAGTCCTCTATGGTTCTGCACAGCTTGCTGTACACATTTTATCTCTGAATATATACATCCCATGACACATAATGCTTGTTATAAAAGTTCAGTGATACAGATAAAGATGGAACTGCATTAAACATTAACAGTTGCAGCACTATGGGGATCACAAAAGTATAAAAAAAAAAAGGTGCTGGTGCAGACATTTTGACTTCACTTATAATTTTTTTTTTTAAATGGCAGATTTAAATTTCAGAATTCAGTCAACATAAAGTTAATTACTTGTTCGGACATGTGTATTTTATTACATTCTGTTTTAACATTTTGTTCTAAATATTTATATTTTGTTAAATGTTGTTAATTTCTTTATACTTCGTTATGTATTATTGTTTCATTGTTAATCTGTGAAGGGAATGTAGCACTGCATGTTTTTTCTACAGCTGTTTAGTCACATTGTAACTAACATAATCATTATTGCTAGTTTTCAAGTTGAAACATAACGTGCTGAAGAAAACGCCAACATTTCATTCATGTATGTTACTTCTGTTTTTTAAAGTTTTTATAATTGTGTTCTTTATTTAGGTACATCTTTATTTCAATTTTTTTTTTTCAACTTGATTATATTTTTGAAAAGTAATTTCTCTGCTGTATTGTTTTAAGCTTAAATTTAATCATATTTTTTGTTTTATATAAAAATACCATTTATTGTTAAGTTTAAACATCAAACCATGACAGACAAGCATTTACTAAGAAATTGTTTTATTTTGTGAAACAGCCAGCAGATCTGACATTAAATGCTGAGCATTTTATCTAAATATAATTTTTTGGGAATAGTGTGAACGGTTGTATAACAAATTGTAGTTGATATACACATGGAATATTTAAAGGTTAATCTTCATGTCTCTTTTGTAGTCATAAGCTGGGTCAATTAAAGTTAAAATAACATTTCACCATCCATTGGCTAGGAAAAAATGGTAGTATTTTTTGGACACATGATGAGAAGAACAGAATGCAGAATAACATAACAGGCACTTACTCCAATTCTGATTACTTTTTACGATGACCACATTCAATACCATATTTGGAAGAGTACCACTGTTGAAACCAACACAAGACATTCTTCCATGCAAGATTAACTTAGTAAAAAAAAAAAAAAACTTCAATAGCTGCTCTCATAGTTCAATTCAGCCTCTTGCGTTTCACAAATATTTTTTTTTTTTCACTTTAACCACAGTAATCTTGCAATTGAAGCAAAGTAATATAAACTGTGTGCGTACTCTGTATTATAATATTAACTGAACGTAACTGACTGAAATGTCTTTTAGCAAGACATTACATTTGTTTTCTTACAGGGCTTGAGTTTTTGTATACCTCTCATGTTATGATCACTGTGCCTTCTTTTAGTGCTTATCTTTGCTCAGTAATGTCTAAAGATAATGCCCTCAATGTAACTTTTATTTTATTTTCTTTCATTGCTTGACATTTTAAAAATTGGTCCTTAAAATAATATCTGTATCAGGATTTGTGCACAGTATTTTCCTTTCATAAACATATTTTTGGACAGATATTTACTTATTATTTTGTTAGTTTATTGTGTAAAACCCACTCATAAATTCAGTCAAGAGCAACGGAGGAAATGGTTTGCTCATCTGATGAGCATGCTGTGGTACCGATTGCCACAGAGAGTCACGCTGAAGAAATATATTTACCACAGACCAAAGGGAAGACTACACAGAAGATGGAATGATGGCATAAGGAAAAGTCTTAAAGAAGTAAAGAACAACTTATACACTGCATTAGAAAACAACATTTTTAAGATCCTTACACCCCAAAACTTTGACCAGAAAACTGGGGAAGAAAAGAAGAAGGATATGTTTTTCAAATTGAGCTGCAGATCTTATTTGGATTGCAGAAGAATTATTGTGTCCAATTCTCCATCAGGACTGTGGAAGATTCAAAATGGACTAATGTGGCATGAGCGGATACCAAGCATCAGTATGCCAACATTGCAGCAAATCACATGGATATACTGTCCTATATATGCAGGAGTACGAGGGAAAGAAAGAGTGGATTTTTTGGCAACAAAAACGATAGCTACAGGAACACTTGTATTGGACAAGGGAAATATTCTGAAGACCATATTGAACGAATGTTGACAGAAGACATAAGATTAGATGAAATAACATGTATAAAAATGTGTGAACCAAGAGTTGGGAGTAGATCCGGCAAGAAGGGATGTATGAGAGACAGAGAACCACATGTGTATAATCAGTGTGCTACAGGAACAGTTAGCATCTACACCTGAAGACATTTGCTGCGGTCGAGGAAAGCATCTTTGGGTATGCCCTGTGTCCTATGATGTTGGTTTTGTAATCAATAAATAGAGACTTGAATCTGCACATGAAACTCTGATTAAAAATTTGACTTTAAAATTTAACCCAAAGGGTCACTTGTTATTTGTTATTTATTTCTACATCATTACAGTTTAAATTAAATACACTGTTCCATTAGGTAGGTGAGTTAACTCATCTTCTTCTTCTTCTTCCAAGTCCACCAGCTGTAAATTTCAGTGGCTTTTGTCCACTTCTGGACTTTAGCCGTGTTCTACACCTTGAGCTTTGCATGCACATTTGTTTTAGAAGTTTGGACTAATTATATGCAGACTGTTGGTTCCTTCCCTCTCAAGACAGATACCGCGTCCATCTTCCAAAGCATGGCTTCATAATTTGTCACCGTTTATGGGACATGCTTGTCGACTCTACCAGAAATGCTGTACCAGCTTTTCTGGTAATTTCCTAAAGACAGCCGGCTGCCGCTAACATTACCCACTGTATGGTCTAATTTATGGGTACTTTGCTTGCCCGATGCACCGAAAAAAAAAGTGTCTTTACAAACTAAACTTATATGCCAACAAGTTGGTTGATCAAACCTCATGATTAGTCCATTACAAATGGCTGCCTATATTTGTCACCTTTTATGGATTTGTTAACTCTACCAGACCGCTTTGTTTTCTGGTTTCCTAATCATATGAAAATTTTCAGAAAAAAAAAAATTCACAAACTGAATATAACCAGCAGTTGATGAACCAAGAACTCATTAAAATGGAAATGTCGACAGTAGGTCTCCAGACTTTTTACTGTCCAACAGGTGATCTTTACTTAGGTTGATTCAGACTGAGAAGTCAGAATTTCGCAGTTGAAGTGACTCAGTCAGTGAGAGCTTGAGTGATGAGGAGAATCTTGAACCTTACAGATCTAGAACTAGATTGATAGTAAGAGGAGGGTGGGTGGGGGGTGTCCCTCAAACAGCAACATCTGGTGCTCACTTTGTGAAACAAGGCTCATCCTGCTGGGTGGATTGGCACACATAAGTGGAATACTGGCGCTAAATGAAAGATAAACTTATTTTCTACAATGTCTTAAATTTCATCTAATTCTAACCACTTGTTTGCATGAAACTAATATTTGTGCGTATTATGTTGGTTTTTTCGAGGAGCTCAGGTATAGTGGGCAGTTAGGTTCAAAGCCTCAGGTCTTGTAAGGTTAAGGGAGCAACTGGTCTGTTTATGTTTCCCTCCAAAATGGTGGCCAGGAACCCACATGGGAAAGTTAGTTTATCTGATTCTGGAGACATTTCAGATTTTCATAGAACTTAACTTTGAATTTAAGAATTTATGCTCTAGTTTCTGTCCCCTTCAGGGCTTTAGTCTTGTTTCAGGACCTGCGTTTTACGAGCTCATTTGTTTTGCAGATTCTGCTTATTTTTCTGCAGACTGTTAGTTCCTTGTCTCTTAAGTAGATGCACTCTGATTTTGGAGTAGCTTTTTATGACATGTTTGTAGGGGGGGATGGGGGGGGGGGGGGGGTTAGTGGGTTATTCTTTTTTTCATAGCAGAATGGGGTCCAGGAATCCACATGGGGAAGTGACTAGTAAGTACTACATGAGCAATATACCTTGAAGGAATGTCAAAGGAAATCAATAG